TTAAGAGTGTGGGAAGTGTTAGAAATGCAGGCACGCTCGCCTTTTTGAAAATGTGGTGTTATAAATGTGCATTTTCATCTGAGGACTTAATAATGGTTGGAGTTTTTGCAAAGTTTATAAAAGGCATACAGTTAACTACGTGTATATGAGAGCAATGTTCTTTCCCACCATCAGGCGGTTGTATCATTGGGGATTAAATATTTTGTAAATACCATGTAAGATCTGTATATTATGATCATTCCATGTATATATACTATCCCTTCATTATCTCAGTGTGTATTAGAACAGCTTCTTGGAATAAATACTTTATAGTAACTGATTTTCCATAGCTGCATTGTTAATTTTATAGCATGGGATAAACAACATTCAGTCAGAATGTTTGATGTCATTAGGCTGTTGTTCTTGGTAGATTTGCACATGTGGTCTGTGTTACGGTTTTAACCCAGCTGGCAACTAGGCCACACAACTGCTTGCTCACTCCCCCCCACCCTCTCCCCCAGTGGGGAGGAAAATTTGGACCTGCAAACCCACGGCAAGAGGAGCCCACACTCCTTGGCAGGCCCGTGTTGGAGCAGACAGCCTGGAGGACTGCACTGTAAAAATGACCCACAAAGGAACAGTTTGGGAAGAAGTGTTGCATCTGGGATGGACTCACATTAGGGAAGTTAGTGCACTTCTGGTGGGGGAGGGAGTAGAGCCCAAGAAGCAGGGAGAGTTAGGGGAAAGTCAGATTTACTGTACTTCTCATTATCCTGCTCTGATTTTGTTAGTAATAAATTCAGTCATTATCCCCAAGTTCAGTGTGATTTACCCATGATGGTATTCAGTGAGTGAGCTCTCCCAATACTTAACTCATGGACCTTTGTGTGTGTTTCCCCTGTCCATTTGCAGAGGGGAGAGATAGAGCTGCTTTGGTCGGTGCCTGGTGTGCAGCCAGGGTCAACCCACCACAGCAACACAGCTGCTCAGTACTGGCTGACTGAGAGCCAGCTTGTCTGTGAACAGTAACCATCTGCTTTCCAGGTAACCCCCCAGTTTATATACCAGGCATGATATTTTAGGGAATATCCCTTTGGCCAATTTAGTCACTTGTCCTGCCCAGGCTCCCTCCCACTTTTTTGTGGTGCTCCTCACTGGCAGAGCATGAGACACTGAAAAGTCCTTGACTTACCCTAAGTACCACTTAGTGTTTTGCCAGTGAGCAGGGTCAGAGACACAGACAGACACCAACTTAAGGAACAATGTAATTTACTATAATGCAAAGCTGCAAAGAATCACAAAAGGATAGGCTATGCAATGCACATAATCCTTAGCAAAGAATTACAAAAGGATAAGATAAGCAATGCACCTCATCATTACTACAAAAGAATGCCTACAGTGATTAAGACAGATACATCACTAGTTACCCTAATACTTCACCATCATCCAAGTCCTCAAAACATCAACTGTGGAGGGAAGCTGTCACAACAAAGGACTGGAGAATCATGCCTGGTAACAGAACTCCAGTGGTGTGTCCACCTTGCAGGCCTCCAGGCTTCCCTGATTTTGCTGTGAAAGTAGCCCAGATTTTATACTGGTAAACAAACAAGCAGACATAATTTCTAATTTCATTCTTCTTTGGCTTTTCTCTAAAGCCTGACCAAGGCTCCACGAGGAACCAAGAGTGTTGTGTTTGATCCTATGCCCCCCTAGTAAGGCCTTCCCATGTTTCTGTATATGGAAAGGTTTGCAAATAAATGAATACATATAACAATACTTTATTAATGACTGAATATATACGTAACATTTGGCTGGAATGTTCATCTAGAGGTTAACTTTGGCTCAGGGCCTTAGTAGTTAATGTAGCAACAACCAAAAGATCATGGTATTAGTGAGAATATTATTCTCAGACTAAATCCAAGTTACTGACAAGAATATGAACTCCATCCCAGCCAAAACCAGGACACTCTGATAAAGAAGGAATTGTCATGATATTTGGATTTTTGGTTCATTAAGATCTCAAAAACTTGAAGCTTTTCTTTATACAGAGTGGAAGATGAGCTTACATTGATTTGCTGGCATAGACTGTTCTACCACTGATCATGTAAATCAACATGCCTAGTAATACAGCTAAATGTTGTACATGTAAATATGTATATTTACATATACATATATGTATATATATACATAGCAGAAGAAAGTACTGGACTTTATTGTCATTTTTGCTTATGATGATACATTTTAAGAAGAAATTTATAGTCAGATCTATTACCATAGAACCAGTTTGCTTTTTCTGTTTCTTTAGTACATTTTTATTCTTTATGGAAGCACAAAGAGCTTCTGCACTTGGTATTTATGTCTGTGAAGCCACTGTATTGTTAATTCTGTATCCTTCCCTGTGTTCATTCAGGTGTGTGCCCTAGAGGCAAACTCTTGCTTTTTATTTGTAACATCTCTTATAGCCTGATATTTTTTAACTGTACCTTGAACAAGGGTCTGTCTGGAAAAAAAATCTTTGTGTTTTTTCTCAGAATAGTACTAGGAATAACTAGCTATATGTGCTTTAAGGAATTGTCAGAAATATTTGAACTTTGGAGGTAGAAACCTGAATAACATCTTTTGTGCCTTAGATTATAAAAATCTGGTAACTCTGCTTACTGTTTGTAGTCCCTGGTGCAGTATTTTACTGATCTACACACACATTCTATGCTGTTACATGAGATTAGGAAGAAATAAACATGCTGGTTCTTCTGTCAGGATTACATAAGAAAAGCATGGGATTACTATTTTCAAATCAACAGAAACTGAACCTCTGCTTGAAGTAGAGAACTGTTGATGCAGCTGCTGAACATGTGGTTGGTCAATACGATGTGCATCCTCTGCATATGCAACCTACAAACAAAACGGAGCTCTGCTGGTTCTGAGGCTTGGGGTATGTATGCATGAGACAAGATTTCAGTCTCATCTTTGCTACTACCTACAGTCAGAATCAATACTGAAGTATCTAACTTGCAGTATCAGATAGATGTGGGATCATGTGAAGTGGGATAAATTCTTATAACGTGTACACAAGAAATTTTGAATGTATGAAGAACTGTTTCTTGGTAGAAGTGTGGAGGAATACATGTAATAGAGAATATGGTCTGTGCTCTAGAGCATGCTGGCCTTGATTTACTTCTATTTACATTCCAGATGACAAAGAAAGGCTCTCTGTAGTGTCAGATTAAGGATGTTTGCACTGACCTACTGGAAACATGAGCACGTGAGAATGTAGTTCAAGGCCTCAAATGTCAATGCAGGTGGTATCAGGAAAAACAATTACGTGATGACAGTCCCTAAGCAGGGGTAGAATGGAGCTGGTGAAGGAGGGGAAACTGTATAGAGGAATAATGTCCATTTCCATAAGGGGCTAACTAGCAAAAATACTCTCATAAGTATGCACCATACCAAAAAATGTAAGGGGCTACTTACCTGATGACTTAGGGCAGATGTACGGGATTGTGAAGCTGTCATGCCTCTAGGCATTACCTTTCCTCTCATCCCAGGTCCTTTATTGCTGTTGCATTTTGCCTGCCTTACCACTTGAATTGCAGAGCATTTTGTTAGGAATCACAGGAACAGAGAGGACTGGATGCCTTTGCTCCATGTTGATACCATTCTTGCAGCTTTGAATGGGAAATGCTTTCATTGTGCTGAATACCCTACTTGTCCTTGAACTTTGGACATGTTTATACAGAATGGCACCTTTCATGGTTACCACTATTTACTCAAGCAGCAACATCAACACAAGACTCCTCCAGCAGTGACTGCAACAAGCAACAGCAAACTTGGATAGTGGCAACAGCTCCCACAGGCAGTTATGTGAGGATATTAACCATGTGAATGCTCTCATTTCTCCTTGTGTTCAAATAAATCTGCATAGATAAGGTGTGTCTAAATGTCTTCAGGATGAATCAAATCCCATTTCAAATTCCGGCCAGACAAAATAGTAGTCTTACGTTTTCTTTGCCAGCTGCTTTTCTTTTTCACAATTATCTCCTGTTCCTGTAGTTGTATTTTGCAGCTGTATAAGTAACTCAAACATTCATTCTCCTGTGGTTGTACTTCCTTAGTTTTCATTGTATAAATAGCACAGGAGAAGGTAGGGGTGGGACAGCTACAAGGACAAAATCACATTGCTAAGTGACATAACTGCAAATTGATTTACTAAGCAGAGTAAGTATAGTGGGTCAATTCCAGTTTCTAATCTATGCTGTGCACACTTGGAATGTGTGGTCTGGACTAGTGGCCTGGACACAGGGCCTGGAAGTTGCAACACACTCTGCTCATTTAAGGTGCCTGATGATTGTGCACATCCCCTTCCAGTGGGTTTTCAACCTGTGCCTTCTACGGTGCCAGCATAAACTGCCAAGGGCCTTCCTAATCACAAAGTCCCAAACCGGTCTCTGGGAATCTCTGGTTTGTGGCTCTGAGTGCCTTAGGGTTGTGCAACGTTAGGACAGTCACAGTAAACAGCTGATTCATCACCTCTTTGTTTTCCCTATACATATGGATTAATCTGGCCAAAGCTGGCCTATCTTAAGGTCGCATTTATCTGAGCCACGTTTTTGGGTAGGCTTTGCCCTCCGACAACTGAACCAAGTTGAAGACTCGTACGGATAATTTTTACCATGTCTCCCTTAGGCCCTGCCAAACACAGGCTTTGGCTCTTCCGTGATTCCCACAAGGTCAATTCAGATCAAACAGGGCGAGAGAAAGCAGGCTGCAGAACCATCTCCTCGGTGTGACTCGGGCCGGGAGGTTACCGAGTGAGCCGTGTATTTTAATCAGACTGGGCCCGATGTCGGCGTTCAGCGGGGAGAACCGGGGAAGCGGTGTGCACCGCCGCCGCTCTGCCCCGCTCCGGGAGCGGCCCCAGCCAGCCCCACAGCCCACGGTACCGCCTTGTCGGTAGCCGCGGAGCCTTCCCGCTGTCTCCGCGGTGCCTCCTTGCCGGCGGCCGCCCGGGCGCAGGGCGGGGCCGGGGAAGGGCGGGCCCGGCTGCACCGCCCCCGTCTCCGCTCGGCCTGGCCCGGCGCGGGGCCGCTGGCGGGCGGGGAGCGCCATGGCGCTGGGCTCGGCGTGGAAGCAGATGTCGTGGCTGTACTACCAGTACCTGCTGGTCACCGCGCTCTACATGCTGGAGCCCTGGGAGCGCACCGTCTTCAGTATCCTTCTGCAGCGGGGCCTGGCGGGCGGGGGTGTGAGCGCGGGCCGGGGGCGTGAGCGCGGCCCGGAATGCCCCCTCTCTGTCGCGCTGTGTCCGGCGGCGGCTCCGGCGCTGCCCGAGGCCGCCGGGCGGGTGTGGCGGCTCGGCCGGCCCTGCGCCCTGCTCGGGGAGCTCTCGGCCGTGGTCGTGCTGAGAGCGCTGCCGCCGGCGGGGCTCGCTGGGGCAGAGGAGAGTCGGGCCGGGAGGGCAGCGGGGCCGGGCCGAGCCGGGCCGGGCCGGGCGGGGGCAGCCGGCCTCAGGCGCTGAGCGCGGCCGGGGCAGCAGCAGCCTCCGCCTGGGACCCAGGCTTGACCCCTCCTTGCTGGCGGGGACTCGGCTCCTCACCCTTCCAAACTAACATCCTGCCCGGGCTGGGAATAAACCCCGCTGTGCTGTTTCACGTGCTGTGTCGGGCGTCTGGCAGCCTACTCCGTTTCTCCTCCGGCATAAGTTTATATCTTTGGAGTTATGGTGGTTCTATCTTTTGTACTGAAATCCCATCTTTTATGATTTCTTTTGTATTTTGCCTAGAGGAAAGTAAATATGCACGCTGCAAAACCTTACAAACCTAGACTTTCATGCAGCTTTGTCATACGGCCTTTGTTACGTGGGTATTTAATCCTCGAGCTGGTGAGTTTGCTTGGCTGTTCTAGAGTTGAAGAACTTGACAGATGCTCGTGTAAAGGCGTCTCTATAAAGACTGTTTATAGGTTTGCTTCTTTATCTGGCCCTTTTGTACAGGCAGTGCATTTTCTTAAGTATTGCTGTGGCATCACAAGTGTTTTTCTCTGACTTTTTGATCTTGACTTGAAATGATGTCTTAATATGAGTGACCCTGAGCCATCTCCAGTTAATGCTTAGTGGTAGAGAAAGAAATTAATTAAAACATTGAGAAGGGTACAAGCAGTAGCAAGAAGCTGCTTTTACTGAGAATCTGCTTAGTTTTGTAAAGAAACTCACATTTGTTATGTAAAAGTGGTTGTCCAAGTTACAGTGATGTGATTAGTCTTTTTTTTTTTTTCCTGTGTCAACTCAGTAGGAATGGAGTTTAATGGAAAAGAGAAATAGTACGTTTTATAGACTAACTTTGCACAATTTTTCGTGTAGGGGTTCTTCTTCTTTTATGCTATGCCTGTATCACTGAGGAAGCCTAATTTTTGTTTTCCTTGCAATTATATATCATGTGTATTTTTTTTCCTTTTTACCTTGTGCAAAATATTTAAGTAAATAAAAGCGTGTGCACATTTACTTGCATAAATTGTTCAGATTGTAATTGCCACATAACATACAAATGTAAAGAGTGGCACAAGCATCGCTTCTTATCTCAGATCAGCAAAATGGTTTTTGTCCTCAAACTGGATGCTTTGGCTGTAGGTGGGTCATGTCTGCCTGGTGCTGTATGGATGCACTGCGGACACAGTGGCCTTGGGAACTAATGGTGCGTGGCTGTGCTCCAGTATCAGAAGTGAGCACTGATGTGGAAACGTGGATTTATGAGTTGACCTTCATTTTAGTATCTCTTACAGTATAATCCCCTGGGACTGTAAATACACTGAGCAGCTCTAACAGGCACACCTCATAGCTCTGCTGTGCTGTGGGCGAGTCGGTCACAGAGTGCTTGTTAGGCCTGTGCTGTGCAGCCTTGATCTCAGGAGAGCAGAGCGCAGCTCCTCTGGTTTCACCTGTGGAAGCCGAGTGCTGCTGCCTGGCCTTATCACGCTTGTTAATCTCCAGTGTGTTTTACAGTGTTTCGGGCTAAGTTTACTGAATCTCTGCAGGTAATTGGATGAAGTCAATGGCTTTCTTTATTCATTTTGTGTACTTCTGAATTTCTGAAACCATAATCTTTATTAATCTTGATGCCTTGTGAAGGCTGACCTAGAACAGAGGCTAGGCTGAGTTAAAGTATAAAGTAGGTATTATTTAAAAGGCCTCAATGGATACACCTTGGGCAGTACAAGAGCCCAGCCAGGGCTACACCCAAGATGGACCCAAAATGGTCACCCAAGATGAACCCAAAATGGACTACTAGTCATGAGGTCTCTTACTTTTTATAAGTTCTGGTCCATTAGTATATTGGAGTTAATTGTCCAGTTATAGCTTTAGTTTACAAAGTCCCATCCTTCTTGTTTTTCTCTCTTCAGTCCACATTGTTTATGCACTTGGGCTTGAAATTTGGATCAGTCTTTGGTACCAAGCTAGAAAAGGAATTGTTTTGTCTAGCTGTTCTGTGAAGAGAGCTTACCATTCCTTAAAATGAAGCTGAGACACTAAAGCAGTGCAGAATCTGAAAAATATAAAAGTTAAAACCTAAGGCATCATTTCCCCTTTCTCTTTTTTTTTTTTTGGGGGGGGAGGGGGATGTTTCTTGTCCCCTGCGATGCCAGAATTTATTTAGATAAAGCTTTAAAAGCCCTAGAGGTTGACAAAAGTCCAGCTATAATTGTACTTTATAAGCTATTGTCTCAGTTATCTATATAAGTTTTACAAAAGCTGTCTGTTAGGAGTTCAGCTAATAAAGTGATAATCTACAGATTTTTTAGCAGATAGCTTCATATGAAGTTTATTTTGTAGTACCATTTCCTATAGTAAAGTTCTAATGAGTGTGTTTAAGTACACACCTAGACTCAAAACTATGCTCATGCTTTGAGGCATTGTGAGTGAAGTAGGTAAAAAACATCTAATCCTGTCTGCTTAAAAAGGTGGTCATCCACAAATTAGAATGGTGTTACTCTTATTCAGTAAAGCTGCTCATATTACTGTAGTTTTGTTCTGTTTTGTATTTTTGTGGTGGTTGACTTTTTTCTGCTTGGCTGAATGGGGCTGCCTTCTGCAAGACTTGCTCGACATCTGAGAAGATGAATGTGAAAACATGTAGTTTCTCAGTGCCAGTTTACTGTTCTCCATTACACTTCCCATGCTCTTGCCTGTCCTCTTGTGTCACTGACAAGACCGTGGATAACTTGCAAGACATCCTTGCAGTTTAGCTGATTGCTTCTACTGGCATTCTGTTTTTCAGTGCTCAGGAGGTTCTTCTGTGGCTTATAATTGCTGAATACAGTTAATCATGTCTGTTTCAGAAACATAATGTTATAAGATAGTAACCACTAAAGTTTTAATGCTATAGTTTGTGATGTCTTCTGCTGTTTCTATTTCAAATGCTTTTTTCCTCAACTGTAGTTCAGATTCCATGCTAGTTTCCATTGTTGGAATGGCACTGTACACAGGCTATGTGTTCATGCCCCAGCACATCATGGCGATATTGCACTACTTTGAAATTGTGCAGTGATGAAGAACATGTTTTCAAGAAGTAACCGGGCTTTGAAATCTGGTCTACAAAGAAGAATGAACCTCTTAGTTTTACCAAGATTTCTACTGATGTCCGAAAGACACAATTATGACTCTGAAGACTAGGAAATGAGATATGTAGAGCAGGGACGTGAGATGTCCCCTATGTTGTGTTCATTCCCTTTAATTTTACAAGATATGCCCTTGTATAGTAGTTTTGTCTACTTTAACATTGTGATTGTACTTTGATATCAGTATTTTCTTAACTTTGTGACAGTTTCAATATTGCACTGTGATAGCTTTTCTTAATTGTAATTTTGAGTAAATCTTAATTGCCTTCTATTTTTAATCAAAAAGTCATCTTATTAAATGGGGCTTAAAGCTTTTGCTATTGTATGGTATGTATTTGCCTGGATATTTCTATTAATGCGTTTTGTAAGAAAATACATCTAGATTCATATTAGAGACATGGATATATTCGTCTAATGCTATTTACAAAAGTTAGTTTGTATGACTGAACTCAGGTGTACTGTTCACTGTCCAAACTTTGTTCAACAGTATATTTGTGCATATCACCTAAATTTGGAGTTAGTAATTATTTCAAGTTTCTGTATTCTGCCTGTTGGAGGAGGGAGGGGGAGATGAGGCATTGAAGTAGAGTGAAGACTGCATTCGTTATGTTTGAAGGAGTGCTGTGGTTCTGGACTCTATCTGGGTGGGGGGGAAAAATGGACTTTTCTTTACTGGCATTGGCCCACATACGGCTTTGGGATAGCACTTTAAATCAACCCTGGTTTTCTAGCTACCAATTCACTTTTACAGGATTGTTTATTATGTTCCAATGGCTATGGTTTCTGCTGATTTTCACTCAACAGTGTAACTTTGTCTAGGTTTTCAAGGGGTTTTCTATTGCTGCTAGTGTTCCAAACATGTTTTCGCTACAAACGACCAAAACATAAGGATTTCAAGGGACTTGAGTTACAACTACAGCAATAAGTAGCTGAATACTTGGCTGAAGTCCTGTCTTTTTTTTTAATAGGGATTTTTTTCAGTTTTGTATTCTGAAATGTAAGAGGGCGATAACTTTCCTAAGTGGACAATTTTTTTGTTGTTGTTGTTGTTTAAAAAATAAAAGTTAAAAAGCAGAGCTTTGATGCAAAACTTTCTTGGAGAAGTTGATGTGTTTCCGAGTGCTGCTTGCTTTTTTCAGAACTTCCCAAAAGTGATACTTGACCAAAGAACTGTGATTTTAATGGCCCAATAATTGGTACTCTTATGTCTTTTATGTAGTGTATGTTGACATCAGAAATTGTAGATGTACAGTATCTATAGAGATACTGTCTTTCAGATTATTTCATTTTCTCTAATGTGTACTCATGTGAAGAGAGTGCTTTTCCCGTTGTATTTAAAAACATCATATGTATTTGATTAAAAACCCTGCTCTTGTTTTGGGAACTAAAATCAATGAGCCTTTAACTTCTTAGATGAACCTGAGCTTTACTGAAGTTGGTAGGAGTCTCCCTCTAATTCAGTGGTTTCACTTCTTAATAACTGGCCAACAAAACATAGGTTTCTGGGATAATGTTTTTTGGGGTTTTTTTTTTGTGGTGTTTTATTGTTGTTTTATTTAAATGCATCCAGAGTTGTATGTTAGCATTTTAAGTGTATACATGGAGATAACGATAACTTAATGTACTCATTTTGAAGTAACATAGCATAAATCCAGTCTATCTGTGGATTAAATCAATACTTGATTGTGATGTTTCTTTGCATACTACTACTACTATTGATAACCTCTTTTGCAGCAGTAGATAATGTTATTTCTATGAGGGTGAGTAAAAACCCTTCTGTGTGGTGGCATTAGGAATGTTAAGCATAATTTTTAATTGTGAAATGTTTTATAAAAGGCCCCTGATAGACTGACTTTTATTAGCTGTCTGCTTTTTTTGATAAAAAGAAGATTAACCATTAATTTCCAATTATTTGCCTTATGTTGGCTTGATTGACACCATACTTGAATTCAATTTGATAGTTTGAGTACAGTCTTTTTCAGTATTTCTTTTAGTATAAATCAAGACTCTATTCGTCTTGGACAGTTATTTTTAGATTCTGAATACTTTGTTAAAGGTGGAGTAATTTCATTAATAAAATATGATGTGTTTACTGAAGTTTAAATTTCTAGAAGAAAGTTTTTGCAGTGTGTCCTTTTGTTTAGGTTGAGCTAGTGAAGAAATGGTTCAAAGCAGAGATTTCTTTTTTAAAGTAGGAGTAGTGGTAGGGATTTAATTAATCATTACATTTGAATAATAATAAATGAATCAGAAGGCTACCAAGTTGTTTTTTTACTGTAGTCTGCCTTATTGTCGTATCAGCTATCATATCCTCTGTGATAGAACCATAAGCTTTTTTTTTTTTATGCAAGCTGGGGATCAAAGAGAGTTTGAATATCATTTGGAGGCAGCTGGTCAATCATGCTTTTGTTCAAACATGTTGATAAAAATTGAGGCATCAGTAATTTAGGTAAAATTGGAAAAAAAAACAATTATGAGAAATGGGAAAAAAAATTACCTGAGAGACATGCAAGTGGCCGTATGTTAATCTTTTATTAGTAATAGCTCTTGGGGTTTTGATTGCATCATTAGAAATTTAAAAATGCTTTAGGTGTGTCATACAGCAGAACTGATAACTCCAGTTTGTGAGGTAGCAGACTGAGCCGGGGCAACTCGCTGTGCTGGAAGCCCTGGGGCTCCCAGAGCCAGCTCTGCAGAGGCTCCTCAGCTGCCTCCAGGGCTGGGTCCTGTACAATTATTTACTAAAAGCCTTTGCAGAAGGAGCTGCTCTAACCAAAATGGGCATTGTATTGCAGGATGTCAGGCTGGAGCCAGAAACAGATCCTGGACCTGTGTAGTGTATGTATGGCTTGAATCAGTTATATCTTTTTATATACACATATATGCACAAACTCTGTTTTTTCAGTATGTGTCTGTATATGTGTATATATATGTACATACTGTTTATTTCTTGTCAAAAATTAATATGTAGCAATTAGTTTGGAGACAGAGGCAGTGAGGTTTCTTCCCTATGAAGGAAAACACCAGAGAATCCTAAAGTGGGACTTTCTTTACAAAATTTTCTAAGTGTATTTTGTATATCCATCAATATTAAAAAGAAGTAGGTGTGGAAGGAGCATAGCACTGCAAAGGGTAATCTTGTGTGATAGATGGGCATTGTGTTACTGCAGACTGGTGTGATGTGAGGCATTGCCTTGTTCCATTCAGGTAAAGAAATTAAGTGTGCATTATAAATGCTGAAGAAGGGGTCCTTGCTATTGATCAACAGCTAATAAAGGTTATATTGAGGTGAAGAGACACATCTTGAAGAGAATTGGGTACCTTGGGCTGTGCACAAAGGTGTGGATAGAGCGGCCATCCTGTAAAATACCAGAGCTGTGGACTCTGGAATTGGCACCCCAGTAAAGGTTTTCAGTGCCAGAAATTCCTTGCACCTGCTGATTTGCTCAGGTCTTCTACAACTGCTATTGTAGGAAGACAGTTTTTCCCCACTTGCTGACATGTTGCCCTGTTACCAGTGTAGTGCTTTTGTTTTGTTTTGTTTTGTTTTTTTTTTCCCAGACAAAAGGAAACCAACACCTTTATGCATTGTTTCTATGTTTGATCTGCTAGGTTAGCCTTAAACGGTAGTCATCACTGAACACAATAGCTGCTGTCTTTTCTGCCTTGTGTTTGTCTAGTGATGATTAAATTAGAAAATCTGGCATCATTGCCCAGAGATAGATCTGCCCTCTTCTTGTAGTGGAGAGAGATGAATATCTAGGTCTGATCTAGATTTTAGTGTAGGATTTGGGCAGAAATCCCTCTGCTTTTCATAACTTTCAGTGCATCACCGCAAGATCCTCAATCCATCTTAACTGGCACTGCATGATGGAATACAAAGAAGTTATGAATGTATGAAGAACTTTTTCCAAGAGTTTAGTTGGATAAGAGTAGAACAGGCTTTGATGTAAGTCTTAGTCAAACAGTGATCCAATTTCTAAAGTAAAAGATCTGTCACATTGTTGGAACTAATAGGTGATCAACACTTCGCTAATAATGTATGATATGTCTGGTTTTTATTTATGTCTATAACTGCAGGTGAAATTATCTCAGCATGTCTTGCATTTTGTGTTCTCTGCAATTTGAGATGAATAGCATATCTCAGGCCCAGATTTTACCATGACAAGAAGATACACTATATAACCCCCAAAAGAACTTCTCTGGATGAAAAAAATGTCATGGCAATGATATTATTTGTCTTTTCTGTGAAATTTGTTTGTGTCTACTGAGGCAGAAAAATCATGTAGCTGTGATCACATTAGAATTTAAACAAAAATCTTCTGGCCAAGGTTTTATATTCCTTTCTTGCCTTTGTAATGATTGGCTGTTGTCGTCTCTTCCAAGAAAATCTTAAATATGTTCTTGCTGCACATACTTCAAAAAGGAAGAAACAAATCCCTCAGAACACATTGCTCTGTTTTTCTATTCAATACACGCTGGTAAGGTTATGAAATTCTGGAAGATGTCTTTGAATAATATTATTGCTGGAATAATAAGATCATCCTATTAGCTCATCTGAGGAGTGATCCACAGGCATGCATGCACTCTGAAGTTGAATATCTAGTTAAGACTACTGACTAGTGCTAGACTTCTGACAGTTTATTATTTTACTTATGTTATGTTACCAGCTCAAAGTAAGCATTTTTGAGAGAAAACCTGTGCCACACTCCAGGATCCAAAAAGTTTCTATACCTAGGTAATACTTCCTGAATTTAATCGGAATTCTCAAGTAGTTCCCAAACTCAGGATAGAATTAGTGGATGATTTTTTGTTAGACTTGTATTAAAAAAAAACAACTTCAAAACCCTTTCTGTGTTGTAGAGTATTTCAGTAGGTTGGACAAAAAAGTAGTGCTCAGCTCAGTGTGGCTGAGGATAAATGTGCAGTCTGTCTTAGACCACAAAGACGGACCATTGAACTCATGATTTTCTAATCAAATGGAAAGGTTGACTTCACTGGAAAGGGATCAAGGGGCTATCTGTACCTGGAGAATAAGTGACAACTTCTGTGGATGTGGGGCTTTCTAGGTCAGGGCACAGCTGCAGGGTCTGCCTGCACAATGTGATGGTGCCTAATGCTGAGATCAGAAGTACCCTGCAGAAGGACTTGTGCCACTTCTCTGCATCTCCTTGAGAAGAGAGTTATATTAAGCTATGCTTAGATTGAAAAAAATTTCAAGTGTTTGTGAGGAATCATGAAGAAGTTGAAGTAAAGCATGCCAGCTCTGGTCTATACTTTGTGCTGTGTGGTGTGAGGCAGACAGCCTGTAGATATCTGCAGGACATCTTTGGTTTCCTTACTGCCTCTGTTAAATGTCACATGCACTTGTGAGCACAAATGTTCTGTCTTGTGCCTTTTGAAAAATCTTAAGGCTTGTTCAAAAGGTTGGCAAGTGTAGTTCGAGCTTTTTGTTCCTCCTTTGCCTGGTGACTGCAGTCTGAGAAGCACTTGTAATTACATTGATTGGTAATCTCTAATTTGATAGATGATGACATTCATTTTGAAACCAATGTATATACATCCCATGATATACCAATGATATGGATATCTCTATTTGATGCAAGAAGCAGTCTTACTGGAAAATCCTCTTGTGTCTGACATTTAAGCAACATTGGAACTCTCCATCAGACTACTGATAAACCCTTTGCATTGTGCATTAGACTGGTTTCAGCCACTGTATGCTTTCTTAAATAGGTTCAGGCCTAGACAGGACAGCAGATATGCCAAGCAAACAGGGATGAGAGAAACAGAAATCCATCCATGTCCATTTTATTTCACCTGCTGAGTTACCAGGTGTGTTTTGACAGTTGGAGACTAGAGTTACCAAGGGTAAAGCACTGAATTATATTAACAAAGGAAAACAAGACCTGGAAAGTATCAAAGTATCAGTTGTGAGCCTGTGGTGAGGGTCTGCTCTGTGAAGATGATTTTTTCTTTTTTCTTTAAAGGCTTACTCATATAAGCAAGGTGCTTGTTAGTGAACTAGAAGACCAAAAAAGAAGTGGAAATAAGTAGGGACAGGGTATAAAGGAGATGTGTGAAAGCATT